GCATGAAATGTTTATACGCGAGGAGTAGTCCCATTTATCTTTATAATACTTTTCTTACTGACTAAAATTAATTAATGGAAAAAATAATAATAATAATAACAGTTGAAAATAGCTAAGCGTTCTAGTGATCACTGGAATATCTACTCAACTCTCTGAAGTCTCTCTATATCTGAATTGTTTCCAAACTTCGACGAGTCAAGAGAGCACCGATACCCTGGTACGAAAATTCAATTGCAAACAGCGTGCGTTAAAAAATATTTTATGGTTTGTATTTTTTGGACTGCGATTGGCCTCATGCTCACTCAAATAAAATAAATTATGATTTTTTTTTTGTGAAGAGACTGCCATGTCACTATGTTGAAATACGTCTTTTTTTTATTGATCATCCATGACTTTTCATAACAAAAGTACAATAATCGAACGGAAAAGAAGAAAAATCACCGACACGGCAGCCAATCGGCAATAAATCACTGTAAAAAAAATAATTTATTTTACACCAAGTAGAATTTCCCAAAAATGCCCAGTATGACACAACAAACCATCTCAAACCATCTAACAATCAATAAATATCAAAGTCAACCAATCGCGTCAACCTTCAACAAGCAAATTAAAATACACTCAACTAAATGAATAAAAAATCTCAGAGCAACAAACGAACATTGCTTATCAACACTAGAATCTTTATAAAAGATTTTTCACCGGTTATAAATCGCTTACTCAATACTTTGTCACGTATACTTTCGTATACCCGTGTGAGATTAAATGATAAAATTAACATTACTTAAAATTAAAAAAAAAAAAAAAAATCAAACTTAAATCTGCATGTGGATAAAAAATTAAGTATCGACTATACGAGCACTGGGAAAGCGTAAAATTAAAGGAACCGTGCTTGTTTGTTGCACTGAGTAGTCAATGATATGAAAGTTCAAGGAAACGCGTCCTTAAGAAAACTTTCGGCCCAGGTCTCATAGTTCCTCGTCCTCCTCCTCCGTGGACTCGGCGCTCTCCTCCTCGAGCTCAACGTCAGCGACATCCTCAACGATTCCCGTGAGGTCGCTGCCGTTATAAACAAAAGGACTGAAAAAAGTCTGCTGCTGCAGCTGCAGCTTCTCCGAAGCCTGATAATTAACGACGGTAGCAGTAGCAAGTTGCTGACTTGGCTGTTGTTCATTGCCATCGTCGTCACCAGCACCGAAGTTATACAAGTGGGGATAAAGGCCCGCGGGCGCTATACCAACACTGTAAAACTTCTCGTGCTGTATGAGGGCCGCGGCCGTGGCAACTTGCTCCTGCGTCGTCTGTTCGTAAATGTTAGACACGCAATCGTTGTTGTCGTCGCTAATGTTATCGACAAGCATGAGTTGTTGATGCTGCTCGTGAACATGATAGGATGCTGATGATGAGTCGTTTGTCGTCATCACCGCCGTAGACTGTTGCTGCTCGAGCACAGCTGGCAGCTCCGATTCCCTAACAACGGCTATTACGTCTTTGTTAATGAGACAATCATTGTCGACGCCCGACAGCTCCTCACTAACGCATTCCGCAATAACGATCGTGTCTGAATTAATTGAATGAGTGGGTGATGAGGTGATGATGGTTGTGTCGCTCATGGGCTCGATAATTGTGTTATCGAGGTGTGTCGTATCGGCCAACTCGTGATGCATATCATGTTCTTGTTGTTGGGTGTCTGTAAGGGTAAGCTGACTGGCGCTGGCACCAGTGGCGGCCTGTTCTACGAAGCTACCAACCTGGATGCCGCTCGAGACGGTCGACGACTCGACAAAGGTCGGCTTTGCTTGCTGCTGCTGTTGTTGCTGCTGCTGCTGCTGCTGCTGCTGCTGCTGCTGCTGTTGTTGTGGCTGCTGTGGCTGCTGAGGCTGTTGTGCCTGAGTGGCCGTTTGTTGTTGCTGAGCTTGTGGACCAGAGACTGGCTGGATGGCAGGTATCTCTTTGACGCTACCAGGGTTGCTCAGCGACTGGACGTTGCCTCGCCATTCCTCGGAGTTTTGCTGCGCGTCGCCGCCCGAATCTGGCTCGCTACTCGATACACAGTGGACCATCGGCTACGGACAAATAACAATCATTAAATATTTCTGGCACTTTATCGATGCATAAAAAGCTTGTGATGTAAAATTTACCGTAGACGACTGTTGCCTCGTGTTGGCTGGTGGTGGAGGTGACGCTGCTCCGTGCGTCGTTGTATCCACGGCTGGACTGTTGGACCTTTGACTATTACCAGGACTGTGGGTCGTCGTATCGGGTGGTGAACCCTGCCTCATCAGCGCAGACTGAGCAGCCGCGTTCGCCTGATTCGTCTGCGTCGACACTGTGTGCCTCGCCATCAGAGCAGCAGCTGCTGCTGCCGCATCCACTGCGCCGGTCTGTGATTGCGTTTTCTCGACTATCGTCGTGCAGGTGTCGTTGGTAATCACGAATTGCGTCTGTGGAAGCTGCTGAGCCTGTTGGTTCTGCTGAGTTTGCTGCTGCGATTGTGGCCTCTGTTCTGGTTGTTGTTGTTGTTGTTGTTGTTGTTGCGTCGGTTGCTGTAGCTCAACAGCTTGATCAGTTGGTTGTTGGTTCACATTGCCTTTTGGCGAGGCTGGACTTTTTCCCTGCTGCTTTGCATAAATCAAATGTTAAATAACACATACATTTAGAAAAGATAAAGCAACAAAGATATATCATTACCGTCACCATGTCAGCGCTGACTATTTGGTACTGAGCATTATTGACGTTCACTGTTGGTTGCTCGATGCTGGGAGTGTTATTGGCATTTGACGCTTGGAATCCCGGCAGCTGGTTATTCGAAACCTGCATCGTCGTTTGCTGCTGCACTATCGTCGTATTTTGCTGAACGTACGTCGTGTTCTGTTGATTCTGTGACGACGATACCGAGGCAATATTTTGCGCTGTTGCACACGGCACCATTAGCGTCTGACCGTTCATTTGAATGAACTCTTGTTGGCCTTGGATGTTAGGTTGACGCACCTTGAATTATAACAACCATATTTTAGTAGACTGTACATTTATAACATTTGGATAAAGAAATTTTTAATAAATTTATAAAAAAATTATTTCGAAAGGTATTAAAAATTGTTTATTAATTTATACCTGTGCTGCATTAAAAGTCACTTGTTGGTTCGGAGTGACGTTAGCGACAATTGGATTCAGCTGGTTGCCGAAAGACGTTGTGCCGTTGACGAGGAACTGACCGCTATTCGGTGATATGAATTGAGTACCAGGGCTGGCTTGAGTCTGAATTATTTTGCTACCCGTAGCCTGAGGCGCTCGTATCACCATTCCAGCTGGGCCGGCTGCTAAAATACTCTGACCATGTCCAAAAATACCACTGTGGTTCTGTACAGGTGTCAAGACGTTCTGGCCATTGACATTTTGCAGCTGCAATTGCATGCCACCGATGTTGCCTGAAACAATGTCACAATTAATATTTTTCCACAGATGCACACTTTATGGCTAATATTTGTATAATCTAAGCTAAGATCAACAAAATACCTGTGTCTTGGAGAAGAGTAGCCGTGCCATCCGCAGACATGACCATGCTTCCCAATCCAGGCACAATGAACTGCTGAATGGTCGGGAAGTTTTGAACCATACCCGTTGTGCCATTCAGCAGATTAACCGGCTGCAACAGATTGATCTGCTGGGCAGGCTGTGCATTCGTAATTATCTGTTGCGTATTGAAATTCTGATGCGGCTGTCCATTCATAACCAATTGAGCAGGTCCACCGTTCTTGCCCGGCACGATCGTTAGCGCCTGCAGCATTGGTCCCCCTAAACTTTGCGTCTGGAAGTTCTGATGCGCGAAATTCGATTGGTGCGACTGCATCAACATGCCCGTGTTTTGCTGCGAGGCTGCAGCCGCGATGTGCAGCATCGACGCTACGGTCTGTGTGTTGCTCTTGCGCTTCTTGTAGACCTTTTTTTTTGCTATTGTTGGCTCTGGTGGCAGGCCAGTGTGTTGTCGATGGTTGACGAAATTTTGACTCGCAACAGCCGCGGCGACGTTCCTCGCGACGTCTTGCTGCTGGTGCTGATGATTCGTGGCATCGATGATGGGGTGAGCATTTTGCAGAACGTTTCCAGCGGTCACTGTCAAATGCGGTATCTGCACGTTCTGTCCGATACTATCCATCGTCATCATGCCCGATGGCTGAATTATCACTGGCGCCTGAATCGTGTTCACCAAAACGGTAGGTTGGCCTATCACTTGCTGAGCCACCCCAACGGCTGGTATGACCTGGCTGACGGCCCCGGTGACGTTCGTCACCATTGGTGAGACCGACAGTGGTGGCATCGAGTTGATCTTTGGTGGCGGAGGTGCCATAACACCACCAGTACTCGCCATTATCAGCTGTCCGTTGTTGGAGACAAGAATGTGCCCAGGTGGCAAAGTTTGACCAGGTGCAGCTTGTTTTATTATGCCACTTGACGTGAGAACATTGTGAACCTGTTTAAAGAAAGAAAAAAAAAACATTAGATTTCAATTTGATTCTATTGAGACTTTTGAAAAATAGAAAAAATACAAACTTGAACGTTAGCTTGCTGCTGAGGCTGCTGTTGGTGGTGCTGTTGCTGATGGTGATGTTGACCGTTTGTATTGGTCACTTGCGGCACCTGTATACTACTCACGACACTCTGTACCATTTCAAGCGGTGACCTGGAAACGTTCACATTAGCCATTGACTGTTGTTGTTGCTGTTGTTGCTGTTGTTGTTGCTGCTGCTGCTGCTGCTGTTGTATAATGTAGGCATTATGTTGCTGCTGAATCGACGCAGACGCAGCAACCGGCATCGTCGCCGTAGAGACAGCCGAAGCTACAACAGGGACAGATGAGGAAGGAACTGTGTTGACAATCGCCGTTTGCTGCTGTTGTTGTTGTTGCTGCTTGGCCAAGATGTTTGGTAACAGATTGACACTATTGGCCATGCCGGATGGAGCATTTATCGAGACCGTCGCTGTATTAGCTCGTCCAGCCAGCACCGACGTGATTGTGTTGCAACTGACTGTGTGGCCACTGGCCATTGTCGTTATGATTGACGACGCGTTGTACGTGTTGCTTCTCGAGCCGTTGCTCATCGCGTGTTGTTGGGATTGATAGACCTCCAACTTCTTTTGATTCTCAATGCAGCCGGGGTCGCACGATGGATTCGTTGGGGCGACTGACGGTGTCGTTGACCTCTGCTCGTTGAGATTCGCATGCTGAGCAACCATGTGCGGCGTCGCCGGCTGCGAGTATGCGTGCGGCGTCGATGGCTGCGAGGACATGAGACTCTGTGGCGTTGGTGGCTGCGACGTGGACGACGTTGGCGCGTCCGAGTTGGCTGGACTGTTGGTGCCTATGGGCGAGCCATGCGAGGTACTTACGGTGCCACCCTGGATTGGCCGCGAGTCCAACTGAGCCTGCTGCTGGCAAGAATTTTGCTGCTGCATGCATTTTTCACCGAAAGTGGAAGATATCGGGTCTTCCGACATATCCGGCAAAGTGTACTGATGTGTGTGCATCTGCAGGACACAAGAAATAAGTTGCATTAATACACATTTTACTTTTCATCATTAAATTAAAAGTAGTAAGGAGACAGAGGCCAAGTATTTACGTCGGTTCTTTGTTTGTAGGAATCCTGAGTCGAGGTCGAGGAAGATAAGGACTGCGTGTCCGCGCTGGTCACGCATCTCTGGCACGACATGGGGCTGCCGCTCTCCGAGTCCGTGGCGCTACCGGCCGAGTTTGGCGTCATCGAGCTGTGCACGAACACCGGCGAGTTCGGGTTATTCTTGCCGGCGTTGTTGTTGTTGCTGTACAAGGACGAGGGACTAGCGAGCGAGGAAGGCTTTGGTTGCGGAAGATACGTGGCGTTTTGCTGCTGCAGACCGTTGTTGCTATTGTTGCCGATGAGCAGAGGCTGTTGCGTGCTCGTGACGCCCGTCTGCCTCTGTATCGTGCTGTTCAACAGAGCAGTCTGCTGTGCGAGGTAACCACTTGGATCCTCCAGGAACGATGGACCTTAAGTGCGAGAGAACAATCAGTGAAAGGTACTGATGTTGATTTTTTACCAAAAAAAGTAATGAGTATGTATCTTACCCGACTGCGAATTCAATTTATCGGAGAACTCATCTCCGGACATGTTTTGGTCGAGACAGTTGTTAATGTTATTGGCGAGCTGCTGCTGCTGCCTCTGCTTTTTGTACGAGTTTTTGACGATCTTGGCCTTTTTCCTCGCGACCTCCTCCGTCCAAATGTTATCCTGGGGAATCTGTTGCAGCTGCTGCACGTTATTGAACGCATTGCAATTCAGGTTTTGCATTTGATTTATATTTATCCTATTATTTTGCTGTTGCAACTGTTGCTGCTGCTGCTGCTGCTGTTGTTGTTGTTGCCAAGGTGATGCTCTCGCGTTGAAGTTTACATTTTGATTTTGTTGCAGCTGATTATTCGTTTGGAACTGTTGCAGGTTGTTCGTCTTTGCTGGACTGAACGTACCCATTTGACACGAAAGCTGATTCTGTTGAAACTGATTGTTTGGCTGTAACCTCTGAATCGCTTGATTTTGTAAGAACAGTTGTTGTTGCTGCTGCTGCTGCTGTTGTTGCTGCTGCTGCTGCTGCTTAAGAGCCAATTCCTCGGCAGTCCTTTGTTGCTGCTGCCTCACTTGCAAGTCGTTTAAGCCATTCATAAGGGTCAGACCATTTTGTTGCATCGTATCGAGCGGCTGATTCAACATTTGAGTTTGATACTGCGCCTGTCCGCAAGACTGAACAAGCTGCTGCTGCTGTTGTTGCTGCTGCTGCTGCTGCTGCTGTTGATGCTGCTGTTGTAACTGCATTTGGAACTGATCCGTCTGCTGTTGCAACAACTGCTGATTGACCTACGAAACGATAAATACCACATTATAAAACGCACATATAAATAATTTCATAGAAATAAATACATATATAATTATTTCAACACCCATGTACCTGCTGCTGTTGTAACTGCTGCTGTTGCTGCAACTGCTGAAGCTGCGGGTGAATCTGTTGCTGTTGGTTTTGCATGGGCAGCTGACTGAGAAAGTCTTGCTGTTGGCCGAAACCAGCGAGCAACTGTTGCTGCTGGTCCATATCGCCCAGAAGACCCTGCTGCTGCATACTTTGCTGCTTTGGCATGTTTTGCAACTGGAATTGCTGTGTATTCATCTGTTGCTGTTGTTGCTGCTGCTGTTGTTGCATCAATTGCTGCAACGGCTGCTGGTTCAGCTGGTTCAACTGGTAATTGGGCTGCTGCTGTTGGACCTGCTGTATCTGATTGGCGAGCATGCGATTCTGCGGCTGTTGTTGTTGCTGCTGCTGCTGCTGCTGTTGCTGCTGCAGCTGCTGCTGCTGGTCCTGCTGTTGTTGCAACAACTGCATCTGCTGCAATTGCTGCATCTGTTGGAACAGCAGCTGCTCCTGCGTCTGCTCGTCCTGCAATTGCTGGTTCAAGAGTTGTTGCATCTGTTGAACCTGCTGTTGCTGCTGAGACTGTTGCTGTTGCGGCTGGTGCTGCTGCTGCTGTTGAGGCTGCGAATTCACAAGGTGGCCGAAATTCGTTTGCTGGTTCATGATCAGCTGGTTGCCCATGATCATGCCACCCGCGGCCATGCTCTGCGCGTTGTTCAGCCTCTGGACTTGCTGGTTCTGCGCCAGCTGGGGACTGAGGGCCGCCTGCTGGTGCGGGAGCAGCTGTTGCTGCTGCGTCTGGTGCGGGAGCGTCAGGCTCCCGGGCAGATTCGACACGGTAACAGGCCACACCTGCAAATTTACACATCAACCGTACTCTTGGTACACTCACCAAACACGTGGCACTTGAGTTTAACATAAATCCCCCAGAAATAGATACATTGATTCTCATTCGCCAGACCCGCCGCTTTCTTTGTCATTCATTCTCATGTAATTAATTCGACACGGCGAGTTATTAAAAAACACAATAAGATTGTTGTCAACGTGGCGCGATGTAAGGAACGAGCGTTGATTAAAATTTCAATGAGCGAATCAAGTACTTGTACCATGTGATTAATTCAAAGTCACGCCAGATAGAGGGGCAAATATTTGCAATCCGATGGAGTTGGCCCGAACAGAAGAAAGCCACTCGGGCATCGTGGCGCGCATCATTAAAACGATTCACGCTCCTCCGGCGCGCGGGAGAAAAACGAATAACATCAATGAAACTTCCACTAGTCGAATTCAAACCACCCTCTCTCTCTCTCTCTCTCTCGTAATTAAGACTTCTGGGCCAAGTTTTGCCATTCCTCGAACCGGCTGCCGGGCTTTTAATTTCTCAATCTTTTTTTTTTTTTATACATGGGAAAGGTGGGAAGGGAGAACAAGGAGAGCCCACCCAGCGAATATTATTTGACGGGGGTGGTCCACGCGAATCGAAAGCTCTGCAATAGGGTAACGGAATCGTGACATCTACCGATTTCGTAGTCTCGTCACACTGCCAATCAACGTATCGGTCGCATGAAATGTTTATACGCGAGGGCGGCTGTACTCTCCCGAGATCAATCGTCGGAGGGTGCAACCGTCCCTTTCGCCCCGTCAATAATACAGTAGACCCGGAAAAGAAGGAAAGCACTCGCGAATCTCGGGGTCCAGTCACGGGGGTGGGGCTTTTTGAAAAACGCGCGACGATTTGGCCCCTTTTGGCATTAAACCGGGGATGGGGGAGACTCCCTCAAAGCGAGGAGAGCTCTGGCGCTTAACGCGGCAGTTTGAACCCACCCCCTCCCGGCTGAATAATTTACCTGCGAGCCATTAGAGAGCGACCCGGTGGACATCGTGGCCACGGGGTTGGCGGTGGGGCCGGCGACCGTCGCGTCACCTGCTACGACGTCCGGGGCTACGGAGCTGTCGTTCGCGTCGGTGGGGCTGCTGTTGGTGGTGCTGTTGGCGGCCACTGCAGCGGCGATCGCTCGGTCACGCTGCGCCAGGAGCTGCGACACCGAGACGCTCGAGTACGGGTTGCTCGAGTTGCTGCTGCCTAGCTTTCGCCGCTTCCTTTTCAGGACGTCTGGAAAAAAACAATACAACAACAAAACAATATAATCAAATTTTGTTGTCCAATCGCGTGCAAAATAATTTTTTATCCCTTACTTGGTACAAAAGATTATATTTGTAGTACAATGAGCTGCAATTATTCGCAAAACCATAATATTTCTCTCTTTAAAGATTGAAAAATCGGGACAAGGTCCAATGCTCATTCATAGTAAAAGATTCTTTATTACCTACAAATGTACATCAACCAATCTATAGATTACGGTACTCAACATTGAGGTGCAACGAAGGGGAATCAATTACTTGGGGGGAATCCTCAAAGTGGCATGTTTATTTTACAAAATTACATAGATATAAATTTTGCATTGAGATTACACTAGAAAAAAATGTCACATATTTTGCCACCAAAAACAATGGCCCAGATGGCCCATATCTACATGATTCAATTATTGAGGAGTCTTCTTGATAGCCACGTAATGCTCGAGTCATCAAAGTTATGGAGTTACGAATCGATCGGACACTCCCACACACACACACACACTACACGACAAAGATCGGGGTGTCCCGCGTTCCCAAACAAATTGTCGCGCACGATGTGATATATTTACAAGGTGGTAAAATCTCGAGTCGGTCAATTTACGGGTGATCGATCGTGTAGAACGCGAGTGGGTGAAGCATTGTACATAATTATCACGGTGGGGGGTGGGGGGTGGAAGACGGTGCACGCAGTTGAGCGCGAGAAACCACGGTGTACATAATATATACATTATACACTACCCGTCCCTTTGACGCGTCTTAATTAACATCATTATTCTCCCGAGCGGAGGGCGACTGAAATTTAATATAGGCGCTCCGCGCGTACCCGTGACTAAAGATCTCCCAACTTCCTTCCCCCCCTTGAACTTATTAGTCATTTATTCAGAGACCCCCGCAGATGCCGCTTCACGGCCCATTCAATTAGCCCCGGAGAAAACAAAAAAAAATGGCGGTCAAAAAAAAAAAAACCCCCCCATCACCACAACGACAACGACGCACAGCTAACCAGCCAGGCCAAATATTACAAACGCGTAAAATCCGGGAGAGAGAGAGAGGCCAAAACTCCCCGGCGACGAATTAAGCGAGGGAGCGCTCCGGCCAAGCGCTTAATCGCCTCGCATACATTTTTCCAAACAAAGTCGTAGAGATACGCCTAAACTCGATGCTACATTGCGCATCGCCTCGAATTACCGTCATCATCATCATCACTGTTATTTTTCTTACAATCTCTCGCTTCGTACACCTATACACACGTATAATGAACACGGGCGAGGATTCCGCACGAGTGGCGCCGATTTAATCGCAACCGTGCGTATATATGGGTGCGTATCTCCTTATCCTGCAGCCAGTGTAGTCAAGGGGGAGGAGGTAGAGGACGAGAGACGAGAGAAGTAGGTTCTCGGGGATTAACGATAACAGACGTCAACGAGCCTAAATTGGCGGGCGATTCGCCAACAGTAGCTAGCACCACCCTAATGGAGGGGTGTGGGGTGGAGGAAAGTCAAGCCCTGGGCATGTAAGGTACAGGGGGGAAGGAGAGAAAGACAGACGGACGAGTGAATATTATTTATCACGCTGTTTAGGGATTACATATACTATACGCGTTGTTGGCGCGTTGGTGTATTTATATGCCACTACGTGGAGGGCCAGGGGGTAGTTGGTAGGGTGTACCCCCCCCCCCACCTCCCATGTATACACATATATACGTAGGAGCGGATAATTGTAATGGTTGTTAACGTTGATTAAAAGGTCGCGTTGATGTATACATACACACGTACTGCCGCTGTTTAGGGAGAGCCGAAGAGTAGATTAAGAAAGGAGGGAGCAAGCCGACTGTTGTTGCTTTACCGGTGTGTGTGTGTGTGTGTGTGTGTGTGTGTGTGTATGGTAATCGAGAGAGAGAGAGAGAGAGAGAGAGACGTGAATAATTCTCGTTTCGCGCTCGACCGAGCTTCACCACACCAAACTGACTCGGGAGTGGATACACTGGTATACACTTTTCGTCGAGCCACCCCGGAATAATTGGCCGCCACGCTGATTAAAAGCCCGAGTGTTTTGTTTTACACAACTTTGCAGATCGCGTCGAGTGATGGAATTGTATTTTCTTCCCTCCACCCGATCCCTAATTGTACGCGGTGATAAATAACACCATATACATATACATATATATACACACCCAAGAAGTAGGAGCGGGAAGGGGGGGGGGGAGGTTCCGATTACGGGCATGAAACGTATATAGAGATTTAAGCCGTGGCTTAGGCATTTATACTTATAATATGATCGTACGCGTGTGCGGCTTTACATGTATGGAAGCTGTACAGCTGCAGTGCCAAGGATCGCCGAGTATTAAGAGACACGCGTGTATACGGGGATGTCAAGTACTTATACTGTACAACGACATTATAGGTATATATGATACAGCCGGGCCTTAAAACCTTGAAAACACGAGATTACGCGGTAGCCGGCGCGCATTACCGTGCTCATCGGGACGTAGGTTGTACACGTAATGTACTAAGCTCGTCAAAGCGAGACGCCCTTCGCGATGTGTACATAGAAATATCGACATTTTTTTTTTTGCTTTGCGAATGTTATTCTAATTAAAATGAAAGTCCCGAGGGTCGTGTACGACCGTTAGACTGGCGAAATGGCGATTCGAAAAGGTGAAAAGCGTGAAAATGACAAAAACGCAAACTCGTCCCCCCCCCTGGTATAAGCTTAAAACCTCCGAGTCCCGAGTGTCAATCCTCCATCAGCAGTGGAGCGTCCTCGTTCTATTATGCTCTCGTACAACGGCGGAGCGGGTGTTTTCATCCGTAAAAGAAAAACAGAGACGGGGAACACAGATTTTCCGTATAGTCGGGTCGCGGAGACAAGACGTTGAAACAAAGCGCAGCCGTGGAAAAGCGGACGGAAGAGATGGGGGGTGGGGGGGGTCGGTTTTTAATAGGGGCTCTTTTATCTGTAATCCTACAGCAGATAATTACTCGCCGGGGCCGGCGGACGAGGAGATAACTCAAGGACGGTAATTAATCCCCGACCCCCTACCACCGGCTCTCTTTTCTTCCTTCGTCTGCTGTCTCTCGTTTCCCACTTTCGCGCGTGCAAAGTGCAAAAAGCTTACCCTCCACTCTGGTGCTGGAACAGAGAGTGTGTGTGTGTGTGTGTGTGTGTACCATAGGCGTCCATTCGAAGAGGGAAACGGAGGAAAGATTTGCCAAGCCGTGTAAAAATAAAGGGCTTTTTCCCCTCCGACCTTTTTCCGCGGCACTGGAAACTGTCGGCTCTCGTTTCCTCCTCGTTTCTTTGTCTTTTCTTTTCTTTTTTTTTTCTTTTTTTTTTTTTTCATCGCGTTAACGAAGAGACATAGAGAGCTCGCGCAGTTGAGCCCCTCCGTCTTTGTTTTACCATCGGCTCGGTGTCCAGCCAAGGGTATTACGAGGGAGGGCCGAACGATGTGATTAAGGATTGTTGACTTTGCGAGAGAGCCAGCGTAGATGAGAGATTTGATGGTCCGAGGATCGCACCCCTTCCCGAGGAGGATCAGCCGGATGGAAATTAATGTTGATGCAAAGAGATACCGTAACTCCTCCCGCTTATCCCACTTTTCGTTGGCGAAACTGTGCAAATCTATTAGGTATATAGTACCTATGTATACCCTGTGAAATCGAGCTCGTCCTTTTTTTTTTTTTTTTCTCTTGTACAGTCTCTTATTGGATATACTCATCGGAGGAAAAATGACAGATCGGTGATCCAAAGTGTATAAATATACGTTATGTTTAACTGTAAGGTTTCCCAGACGTATATCGTATATACACGTGTGCCATTTATTTTCTAAGATTTCCTAATCTCGAGGGGTAATTATGCGTACGCAAGCTCGTACAATGTTAATACGACAGTCGCGAGCATCATAAAGTATACCCTCATATTATGTACGTGTAAACCCAAATAAGCAAACTTCCGAACAATGTGTACATACAACAGAGAGAGTGAGAGGCAGAAGAAGCCATAATAATAAATATCCCTCCCCACGGTACGGAGCAAGTAATTCCGTTATCAAACGATAATCCTCTCTCGTATCCGCCTTGAATAAAGAGCCACGGGGAGACCCTTGCTGCTGGCTGTGTCTCTTCTGATTTCGCAAAACCTCACGCGCAAAACTTTGTGCCGCCTCGTCGTATCCACGGACGGGCAAAGCCGTAACCCACGACACGGGAGAGCCTCGAGCGGCAAAGAAAGGAAAGGGGGCAAAAAAAAATGAGAGGGATAAGAGCGTAAAAAGCCGAGACCTCGAGCGCAAAAAAAAAAAAAAAAAAAGAGCTCGAGCCAAGGGGTTGCCGAGTGGGCGCGTGTTTGTTGTTTGTGTGCATACGTGTGCGGACGATGTCTCTCTTTCTCTCTCTCTCTCCCCGCGCGTGTAAAATGATGATCGAGCGGAGGTCGATTTGCGGCTTTCTCGGGGAATTCGCCGGCTCGCCTTTTTTTCTCTCTCTCTCTCTCTGTGTGCTGTTACCGTTACTGCCACGCTACATATACCTCCTCTACTTCTTCTATACTTCTTCTTTTTCTTCTTCTTATTCGTCCAACACACACACACACTCTCAAAGTTGTTCCTGCGCGTGCGATCGCGAACTTTGACGTGTATACCCCGGCGTGGTGGCGGCTTAGTCGACGCCTTCGGGCGCTTTTACGGGGCTTACACGATGTGATTTGCGCGAGGATATAATACATATATGCGTATCTCCGAGCCGGAGTGTACGTGGAAGAGAAGCGCAGAGTCAAGAGAGAACGAAAGATGATACCATGTGTATACATATATGGGGTTGAGAAAAGGGGATGATGATGATGATGATGATGATGAGGAGGAGGAGGAGGGTAACAGATGTGCGTGTACGTGCACCGGGAGACAGTGAGGGGGTGATGGGGCACACCCGATGTACGTGCGAGGGGGTAGCTTGTGTTTTTATTGAATTTATATGCGCT